TTGGTGCAGTGCAAATCTGGTTGTCAAAATCTAAGCCGAGTGGCAGTGGTACTTGTACTTGTTGTCCTCATTACAATGATATACTTTCATCATATAGTTGTGTAACTTCTCCTTCAGATTATTTATATTTGTTGCCCCTTCTTGCGATTCTTGTTTTCATGTTTCTCTCAACTCATTTGATAATTTGTAGAGAATAGGAATCAATGTTGGAGGTGGTCCCAATGATGAGAGTGATATCTATGCTGAATGAGTGTAATATGAGCACCGAAGTGTAAAATGGACTTCTTGATGTGATTAAACCCAAGTGAGGTTCTCAAGCTGGAATATTGATGGTGCTTATTGTTTGGGACCATTTGTCTTAAGAAAATGTTAACACTATCTTCAAGTCACTATTTCTCTTTCGATGGATCATTAAGGTTTAATTTTTTATTGAAAAAATTCAGGTTTAGTGTGACCTGGACACAACTCTTGTTGTGCTTATGATAAATGACATGACGTTTTATCTATAATTGGTCATTTTGGCCAAATGTTTTGAAATGCATGAAGTTTTGAAATAATATTGTGATTGTCAGAGTTGTCCCTTGGGCAAGAGTTCTGAAATGTAAGTTTTATAATATGCTCACTTAAGTAATAATTGTTGTCCTGACTAAATTAGATAACCTAGAGAGTACTATACCTCACAGCCATGGCCTTCCCCAAGGGTCACCATGACTGACGTTGGGACCAAGAAACACTCGACAAATACATAACTGGCGGGGAACTATCCGCTATCAGCATCGTCGACACACAGTGAGCAGATTGTTGACAAAGACATGGCCGACAACTCATTGTCGGCTTCGCAACATGGGCTAAGATGATAGCTGACAGTACCGTCGGATACTGTAGTAATGACCAACGAAGCATCTCTGCCGAGAAATTATAGCCGGTGCACCGTCAGTTATACTCTTAACCGATGGTGAACTTTAATATCTGACGATGATACAACCCTCGGTTATATTCAGATATCTTGTAGTGAGTGTCGCCTGCTCGTTCTGCGAGGAGCCTCCCTGAGGAGATGGACCGAGCCAAAGATGATGGCCACTGCCTCCGCCGGCAGTACCCATATTGGGGCTGAGGGTGGGCGCGCGCTGGGTGCTTTCTTTGATGGGACAATGCCTCCTGCTCCTCGGCTTAATAAGACGCTAGGGTAGCTGCCAATTCAGGTTGGTGCCTAGAAGATGAGGTAACGAGCATGCCATGCCGACGCAAACGGCATGGCTTCAACCGTGGTGTTGCCGGCGACATCGCCAATTGGCAATAGTATGGAAGAAGTTGGCGTTGTAAAGCATCATTACCTCACCTTTCTTCTGTTTTTCCGTTCTCACCTTTCTTCTTCATCTTTGGAACGACTTCGCTCAGGCAGAGCATGCTAATAACATGTAAAGAAATGAAATTATTGGAAAGAACTTGGGTGCTGCTTGATTGTTGGGAAAATCACTTATATAAAAGGATTGAAGTCTCAATTTGAGGCGCTTGTTAACAGAGGTGCCTATCCGGCATCAAGAAGTTACATTGGTTTGGACACTAATAACCACATGTGCTAATTCTAATGACGGTTCGACAGGGACATTTTGGTTGATTCTTAACAGTAACATAATATCTTATGATCATGACGTCTTTCATCATTTAATACATGCCACATAAGCAATTTTTTCTCGAAGTGTGTTATGTTACTAGCTATGTTATCCCCACTATGATCAACCTAAGGCTGCTCATAGGGGGAGTAACATAGGTAGTTACATGCGTGCCGCATAGGAAAAAAATGATGTCTCAAATAATTAAGGCTGGTCATAGTGGGGGGTAACTTATACTAGTGTCATGCATATGACACTAGTCTAAGTTATCACCTTCATAGTGCAAAGTAACATAGTAGTCATGTCATAGATGGCTTCATCTATGAGCTTGTAGACTGATCTTGTGTTGGGAAGCGCTATGTTACAGTACTACCTCCGTCCCGGTGTATAAGTCATTCGCGTAGTTCTAGGTCGATAATTTAACTATCTAAATATGTATTATATGTGACAAAAAATATATATTTAGAAACTACATCCGCGTGGAAATCTAGTGATATACTTTTCATGACATATAACACATATTTAATTCCTCAAATCGATGACCTAGAACTACGCGAATGACTTATACACCCGGACGGAGGAAGTAATATATTATGTTACTCTAAACACATCTCTCATGACATATATGCCACTTAAGCAAATTCATCTTAGATTGCGCTATGTTACTCCCACTATGACTAGCCTAATAAGGTGAGATGCAAATGGAGTAACATAACGGTCTTCAATGCAAAATGAGTCTACAAAGTAATAAATAAATTCCTCTATGTTATCACATCAATGACACTACCCACTATGGAGATAGTAACATAGACTAATAATATATGCATTGTTACTAGACTAACTTACGCCCCACTATGACTAGCCTATACTAGTCTCCCTTCAACCATGTGCTCCACACGATTATTGTTCGGTAAAGCAGCATGGGGGCTCAGTGGTCTTCTTCAAAGATTAATTAGATACAGACGATATTAATAGTATGGAGCGAGTATGGCCTTCCATTCGTTAATTGCTTGAATAGTTAGTCAGCTTCCGTCCTGTTGGCATATCAATGAATACAGCATTGTAGGTTCCGGTTTTTATTAATGCATGACCTCACCACCACCTCTGCCTCCAGCCATCTGAGCCCCAGCGTCATGGTCGACACAGCTGCAGCCAGAAGCCGGAACAATCACGCAGCATGCGTGCAACTGCCGGCGGATGGAGGGAAGAGGCAGCATTGCACCGTGGGCGAGGAGGCACCCGGCCCTCTCTACCCGCGTCGGGACATGAAAGGTGTTTGACAGAATGCCTCTTATGCCGGCCTGTCCTCCATCCCCCATCGAGCTGACCCCATCCCCGTCGCCATGCAAGCCGCCGCCGGCTTCATGCCTCGCGCCACCGCTCACTCCCCGGCGCTCCAAGCCGGATGCACGGGTCACGGAGGGCTAGCGGTCGGCCCCACAGGCCACTTCCCCTCACTCGCCGCCTGCTCCCCAGCAATCGATGACGGACACGTAGGTCACGGAGGGCCAATGCTCGCCCCCACGGCCGCTCCCCCTCGCTCGCCGCTGGACTTGCATGTCAGGGAGCGAAGGGCTCCTAGGAGCAGTGCCGGACGCACAGGCTCACCGCTGGACGTGCTCGAGGTTGTGGATGAGCTCGAGGCCAGAACGATCCCGAGCCGCCGGACGTGCTCACCGCAGGACCGCCACCGCCATTTTGCTACTCTTCTGCTGGACACGCTCACCACCGGAATGCCGGCGACCATCTCTCGCCTATGCCACCAGAACGACTGAGGAGGTCGTCGCTGTTATGCTTTTCATTAACTCAAAATTCTTTGCCGCGTATTGAACATGTGGCTGACGGCAAAGCGATGTCGGGCCCACCTGCTAATAGAAAACCCTAAACCTTACTTTGTCGTCTGCCGCGGGAAATAAACTAACGGCAAAGTCTTTGTCGTCATCCCGACGAAAAGGTAACGACGAAGTACCTCTTTGCCGCTTTGGCGTTGCTGTCTAACTTTGTCGTCTGCTGGCTAACGGCAAAGGCCATCAGTAATTTGTCCTTTGCTGTCTCTACTTCTCTAACGGCAAATTAGCTATTTCCTGCAGTGACACCCGCCACTCAGGACGCTCATTGGATGAGTTAATGCCAGCGCTGCATACGAACTTCGGACACCTCCAGAACCCAAGCCGCCCTTGGAAATGAGGCATTCGAGACCAGCACCTTCCCTATGCCACACACCTCCTCTATCACCCGCCACGCCGCTACGCCCGACGCGCATGCAGTGCTCTGGTCAGACGGCGCTGGCCTGAGCCAACGCCCACCCAGTGAGACGATAGAAGTCCCCGACGTTGACCGGGCTTCAATGGGCCGCGACCGGTGGTGGACGCGGGGAGAGGAGGTGGCGAAGTGGGCTCCGGCCAGCAGTGTTAGGGATTCCTCCCCGTAGCTCACGGGAGCGTGGGTGGGGAAAGTTGTTCTAGTTTGAGCTTGCTGTTACTAAATGATATTCATGCAATTGTTCAATAAAGCACCGCTATAGCTGATTTCGAGGACCGTTGCTATTTTACATAGTTGCCCACTATTTGAAAGTATGCTGAGCAGCATGGGGCTCAGTGGTCCTTCCTCAAAGGTTAATTAGTTATGGAAGCTATTTATAGCATGGAGCGAGTACGTCGTTTCATCTTTTAATTGCTTGAATAGTTTAGTCAGCTTCCGGCCTGTTGGTTGTTGGCATCAAAGCGGTGCAATGAAACAGACGCCATTAATGAAACCCATTAAGCACCGCGTGAAGGTTCTGCGGTGAGCTCGTTGGCCACGGTGAAAAACCTTTTGGGATATTATTTTTAGATGGAGGTGGGGAATTTTTTTAAAAGTTTATTTACTTAGGTGAAAATACTTTTGGGATATTGTTTTTAGATGATGGTGCCAATTTTTTAAAAAGTATTTTCCATTTTAGATGGAGGTGATGACCTCACAAATTTTTGTAAATGAGGGCTACGCAAGGTGGCACTGCCTGGTTGACTGCGTTGGTGATTTGTTCCTTTTCTTTTTTACTTATTTTTCTAGATGGAGGTAACGATTTTTTTTAAAATATTTTTGTAGATAGAGTCGAGGACTTCATGTATTTTTTAAGTGCGCACAACTTCGTCTCTAGCGGCGTCAGAGAGAGGCGCCCAACCACTAGTTGAGTAGAATGAGTTGCACATTGCTGCCGTGAACATAGGGCACGTCATGAAGCTGCCGAAGAAAGATGATGTGCGTCGTTCAAGGAGTCGGGCTTCAGAGCAAAATTATTACTCCTAACATTGTCAGTCAGTTGCGCGCGCCGCGCTATATATAACATAGACCATTACTTGGTGATCACAAGCCAAAATGGAGAGTGCCAAGGTGCAGTTGAGTGCTATGCCAAGCAGCCTCCAAGCCCTTGGGCGCAACCTTCCACTCCACCGGTCCAAGAAAGCGAGCTATATACTGTCGTGCAAGGCCACCGATGGCCGCCGTGACGTGCTCCTCCGCCTCGCGGGCGGAGTTGCGACGGCGGGCCTGTCCGAACTCCGTGGCGCACTTGCGAAGCCCATCCAGTCCCCGGACTTTGGCAAGTGCCAGCCAATCGATGATCCCGACAAGATTCCCCAAGTAAAAGACACCATGTGCTGCCCCAAGTACGACGACAGAATCCCAATCCCCGACTTCAAGCTGCCCCCGCTCTCATCGCCGCTCCGTGTTCGGCCAGCGGCCCACCTGGTAGACCGCAACTACCTCGCTAAGTATGAGAAAGCCGTGAAGCTCATGAAGGAGCTGCCCGATGATGATCCCCGCAGCTTCTCGCAGCAGTGGCACGTGCACTGCGCATACTGCGAGGGCGCATATGAACAGATCGGCTACCCGAAACTGAAGATCGATATACACAGGTCCTGGCTCTTCTTCCCATGGCACAGGTAGACATCCCTGTATTTCGGTTCACGCCAAATTAATTAACGTGCTTGTCACTCCATCCATTGATGAACGTAACTTGACGTAGGTTGTACCTCTATTTCTACGAGAGGATCCTTGGTAATCTCATCGACGACGACACCTTTGCACTGCCGTTTTGGAACTGGGACGCGCCCCACGGCATGACCCTCCCGGTGATGTACACCGGTGAGTCTTCGCCACTCTATGACTCCAAGCGTAACCCCATGCACCTGCCACCAGCCATTGTCAACCTCGACTACAACCACAAAGACTACCACTCCGGGACCGACCCCAAGATCTCAACAGAAGACCCGATCGACCTGAACCTCAAGGTCATGTACCGCCAGGGGCGGAGCCAGGAATTTTTGCCATTGGGTTCACTCACTAACTCGTTATAAAGATTTGGTACGAATTAGTTAAATGTAAAGTGAAATTGTAATACCATCCCACAACAATATTATAGCACTAGGATAGCGTATTGGAGCTCGAGCTCATCTGCACCCACTGTGAAAATTAAATTCAAAAATATAGTAGCAAAAATAAAAGGAAATGTTTTGTTTTTTGCATCAAACATGCTCAAGTGTAATAAATGCTTCCAAACTTTCAGGGTGAGATGCTGTGGACAAAATAAACAAAACCGGACCTCTCAAAAAGCTTTAAAAAATAGACATTTTGAAGCACTGATTTTGTTTTCTATCTACATTGCACCACGACAATCATCGTGGAAGCAAATTTTGGATGCACCCAGAACACTTGACCATCTTTGATTTCCATAAATTTCAGATTTTATTTTATTTACTTTTTTTTGGATTTTTTTGTCCACCGAGAGTAGATGAGACCGGGCTAAGGAAACTGATCTAAATTATTTTTTCTACGAAAGAAGGCTTCCGAAGACTACTTGCAGTGGCATTTGGTGCGCTTTGCCTACATCATTACCTTAATCTGGTGATCGATTTCTCTTCGAGAAATGCAGATCCATAGTATAGATCAACCAAGAGCAAGTACGTAGAAGAAGTAATTAGAAAACTACGGCATGCACAACAGAGAGGAGATTTGAGGACGACTCAGTACCTCGAATTTGGTCTACAACTGCAGGCATGATTGCCGTTTCCGACCAGAGGGGAGTGGGAGATCGCAGAGTTTGGTGTACCTTGTTGGCTCGTCGCTGGTGTATCGAGGCGAAACAGAAGAGGGTAGATCGAGTTGAGGAAGCTACAGAAAAAATGAAGGGTTTGTTGCGGCTGGCGGCTGGCCGCTGGTGTATACGCGTATTGGAGAATAGGAATTGGGGCAGGAAGCCACGAACAAGCCAGGCTGCATGGAAGGTTTAACTTTGTGGGCTTTTGGGCTTCTCATCAAGCGTTGCAAGTTGATGGGTTCAATCCTTATTTTTTACTGGGTTCAAGCACGTACGTACATGTCTATACATACCTGGACAGGACATATCGTTGGGTTCAGCTGAACCCAACGCTCCTGTGCTGGCTCCGCCCCTGTGTACCGCCAGGCAAGTATATGTAACAAAAACCTACGTATTAATGAGCTATAAACATCTCTTCAAATCTGCACACTACTACTCCCTCAGTCCCATGATGTAAGACATTTTTTAACAGTGCACAGGGAGTACTAGTTAACCTCCGTTTGTAATTAAATAACACACAAAATATGTCTGTCAGATGATTGCTGGTGCCAAGAAGACTGAGGTATTCCTGGGGACGTCATACCGCGCTGGCGGAGAACTGCGAGGCCCAGGTACCATCGAGTGCGAGCCACACAACACAGTCCACGACTGGACCGGCGAGTCGAAGGAGCCCAGCGAAGACATGGGCAAATTGTACTCCGTGGCACGCGACCCGGTCTTCTTTGCACACCACGGCAACGTCGACCGCATGTGGAATGTCTGGCGCTGCCTCGGCCACACCAACTTCACCGACACCGACTGGCTTGACAGTAACTTTCTGTTTTACGACGAGGAGGCCCGCCTCGTCCGCGTCCACGTCCGGGACTGCTTCAGCACGCTGGCCTTGCGCTACACTTACCAGGACGTCCCTCTGCCGTGGTTGACCGCCAAACCAACCGCTGCAGGAGATACCAACACTCCTGTTGCCCCGACCACGGGGGTTCTCCCGGCTGTCTTGGACGGGATTGTGCGGGTGGACGTGCCTAGGACCAAGGTCTCCAGGAGCCGCTTCCAGAAGGACGACGAGGAGGAGGTGCTGATCGTCGAGGGGATCGAGATCGCAGACAGCTCCAAGTACGTCAAGTTCGATGTGCATGTGAACGCGCCACAACACGAACAACTCAACGCGGCTCACGCACAGTTTGCTGGCAGCGTGATGCTCCTGCCGCACATGTCCGGGCAACACGAGGGCAAGAACAAGATGTCGGCCAAGTTCGGCATCTCCGACTTATTGGACTCCATCCGAGTGGACGGCGACAAGAAAATCATCGTCTCGCTTGTGCCGAGAAGCGCGGGTGAGGTGGTCACTGTGGGAGCCGTCCGCATCGGCTACATCAAGTGACTGATGGATGGCTTTGCTTGGTAAAACCCGTTGCTTTAGTTTGTTTTCTTCAAGTTCAATTATAAGTCCCTGGCAAATAAGCGCCCTCGCTCGCACCTTGAGCTTGTTGTCAAGTTAACTCGCCGCTCTAGAGCGTCGCGCGATCATGGCGGTGCATGAATGCGAGGCGTGATCGGGAGCTGTGGGGTGGCAGAGCGCTAGCTGCTAGACTCTGTCAGCCCCATTTCCCCCCTTTTTTTAACTTCCGTTTTCTTGTTTTTGATTAAGTTGTAATAGTGCAGCTTATGTATCTGGGATGTACTACTTCCTTCTTTCTATTTATTTATTACTATCTGCATATTAACTTTGGTCGGTCCAACTTTACAATGTTTGATTAAATTTATAAAAAATATAAATATTTACACTAAAAGTTATATATGATGTGAAAATATATTCAGCAATAAATATATTGATATTGATTCATTATTGTGTACGTTAATTGTTCTATAAACTTGGTCAAAGTCTATAAAATCAAACTAATATGTGCAATAAGAAAAAACAGAGGGATTTATCTAAATGAAACACCATACATGCATAGATGATTACATATATGCACATACATTCACCCCTATTCATGCACGCACACCCTACCCCAATGAGCAACCCGAAGAGACTGAGCCACCAACTCTTGAGATTGACGAGAGTCACCACAGTTGCCTCACACTAAAACGTCAAATCTGGTTGAAATAATGTAGGAAGTCATGGAAGAATTTTGACCCAGGCAAAGAGAAGCCTCTAAGGAGATGGTCTACAAAAACCACGACTTCTCCTTCGTCGGGTCGGGGAACATCCTCTCCTTGGCCGGCTCGCCAACTAATCTCTTCCTGAGTCGGCAGAAGACCTTGATCTTTATAATCTTGAAGAACGAGCTCGGAAACTTGGGAAGGCATCCAATTGCAATTGGTGGTTTTTGACATACTGAGCCACCTACATCAGACGGAGGACCGCAGAAATATAAACGACAAGTTATTATGAAATAAAAACTCGCTACCTCCATTATATGATAAAGACGACACTACCTGTTATGGACAAGACGGCGTAATGGATAAGTCGCCAAAACAGTGAGCCGCCTTGACGACCAAAGGCATTTTCAAATATCTGGCGGATTATAATCTCAACAATGAGCCGGCAACAACATGAAGGCGTCTCATTCAAAATTGAAGGCTTTTCTAAATCTTTCTGCTAAGTGTTGGATAAACAATTTTCTACCGAAATAGCTACAATTACGGATCTACAAGCAGCTCAAAAAGGGAAAATAATTGCTAAACCTAAAGACAACGGAAGACACGGTTCAACTGTTTATGGGTTGTACTCATAGTTTTAAATAGCCGGCATTTTTAGTCATCTCAGAGAAAAAAAACAAAATCTAAGGAAACTATGGCGGAGAGGTGCGGATGAACGCCGACGAACTCTAGTCGAACTCCGACGAACTAATGTGAATCTAAGGGGAAAGCATGGAAGTACCTAGCTGTGGTGGTTGACGATGGAGATGCACCACTGAACTCCGACGAAGGCAGGGCGGCGCTGCGGTCCTGGGCGAGGCAGCTGATGAAGGTCGACTGGGGCGGCAGTGCTCTGGTTGCTAGAGTTTTCGAGCGGGAGGAAGAAGAAGCGGAGTGGGGCGAGGTAAAAGTAAAAGGATAGGTATAAATGGCAGGCACGAGAATTGAGGAGGCACAGTAACTTTTTGAGCCAGCGGTGCCTCCATTTTCGGGATAAGCAAATACATTCAAGATCCGTTATGATGCGATTTAGAGAGGTGTAAGTTTTGACCAGAAGAAAGACTCGCCAAGTTAAGAGGTGGAAGATTGACAGGAATAAATTCAAATCAATCTGGGGCCTACTGTTGGGGATATAAACCCAGGATATGACCCGCCATACTGGGCCCGGTTACCAAGGTGGCGACTGAAGAACGTGAGTCCAACATGGGTCAAGATGGGCCAACCGACGATCTACAAGGCAGTTCATCGGGTGGGCCATCTTAAGGCCCCGCACTGAAGACGGCGGCTCGTGGCCCGGATGGCGTAAGCCACCCGGAGTTCCCTTGCTTGGGAACATGGCAAGTTAGAGATATGTTAAGTCATGTGGCTAAGAACGACCCGGACTCTTGTAAGCCCAGGGTCTCGACGTTTATATAAAGGTGAGCCCCTGAGGCGGATAGACTAAGTTACAATCAATCGATAGCTAGGTCAAGCAAATCCGCTCCCTTGTAATAGATACTCCAGCGATACAGAAAGCAAGACGTAGGCTATTACCTCGATCTTGACGGGCCGAACCTAGGTAAATATGTGTCTCTCGTCCCGCTCAACGTTCACCCGGTTGCGATGGCCTCACGAATAACTCCTTTCACAAGGGCATCTGCCATGACAAAACCACGACATTTGGCTTACAAATCTAAGAGCACTCATGCCTTGAATCTTCATATTGGCCTGTAGCATATAGGCATGTGCAATGCAGATAGACTTCTGGGTATTGCTGATATGATGTTTGATTATTAACAAATCATTTTGTTTTCTCATGCTAATTGGAAGTTTGGCATTGTATTACCATTCCAATACTTTTTTTGTTCAATTTTGTTCATTAGAAAACAGAACCATGCCAATTGTAAGATCTTGTTTGTAGTGTAGCCTAATGGCATCATAAAGCAATGCTGTTTTCGTTCAGTGATGTCTGAATATCACTAAGCCATTTCCAATCCTTTTCCGTTCTATTGTGTTCTTCAGGAAAAAAAATTATGTCCAGCTGTATTTCATACTCCCTCCGTTCCATAATGTAGTGCCTATAGATTTTTAGGAAAGTCAAACATTACAAACTTTGACCATGTTTATAGAGAAAAGTAGGTACATCTAGAATACCAAATGCACATCATTGGATACATCGTGAGTTATATTTTCAGAATGTACATGTTTGGTATTGTAGATGTAGACAATTTTCTCTATACACTTGGTCAAAATTGACAAAGTTTGAGTTTCACAAAAATCTATAGGCACTACATTATGGAACGGAGGGAGTATGAGATATGTTAGATCCAACTTTACTGCTTCTAGATGAGAAGCGGCTAAGTGCAATTTAGCATCAACGCAGAACTGAACATGGAAGGGTAGGAACGAAGTTAGGAAGCAGTGTGGTCAAGTTCTGTTCTTCAAAGTATGTATGGGGGCCGAACCAAGCAGCATGATTATAGATGAAGAGTTTCGTAATACAGCAGAAAATTTTGTTCTGTGCACACCAATCAATCGAGAGACCGCACTGCACTGGTAGGGAGGCATTCCATTCCAGGGGATATTTGTCCCTGACCTGGCCTAGCGGAGCAGACCACAATTAACAGTATCGGAGGAACAAGAATACAAGATGCATGGAGGCAGATCAGGATGGCATTGACAGATTCATTTTCTGTCTTCTGCTTTATGTTAGGAAACGATTCTCCATCTAGTATTCTCACGCACAATCGCTCACATGAGATACAAATTGTCTTGGAAAGGAAGAAGAAAACGAAAGGAAAAAGCCCCACTGGATGGCTTCTCTTTCCCAACTTTCTCCCTTAAGTAGCATTCTTCCACTCAGGTCCCACGTACCTCCGGTTGGGCTGCTTGATCCTAGCTGGCCGAGATGTGACGCGGCCTTCACCCTGATTGGTTCTCTGGTCCGCCGTGGCAGCATGATTGGCTACTATGTCAGCGTTCGTGGCCTCTATCTCGACAGCTTCAGTTGGGACGCTGACACTTTATATATTGCACAACAGGATGCTAGGAGGTTGCAGTTTACAACTACTAAAATTTAGAAAAGTGTCTCAAGTGTAAGAATTAAAATAATTTCTGAATGGTAATTTATTTATGCTCCTCTTCTGCAAGCTAAGGCGGCATACAATTCATAGATTAAAATCGCGGGAGAAACGATTTAACGGCAGCCTCTCCCAGCAGCTATAGCGGCCACCATAGTGGGCAATCGCGGCAAATATCGGAAATTTTTCTGGTGGAAGAGATGATTTCTAGAGGGTTTTGCTCATTGTTGAGCCATTTAGAGGGATTTGTGGAGGATTTCGCGGCAGCAGCCATAGTGTAGCGGCGAGGCTCCCGGGCAGCTATAGCGCAGCTATTGTGGCTATTTCGCGAGCTATTTGAATCTATGATACAATGTACAAAAAAGAAAACAAATCGATTGCAGAGCTACTGTTTTCGTGTAGGAGTTCTCTTCCTTTTGATGTAGCTTATAATATGTCATTTTTCTCGATTGTATTGAAACAACAATATGCACCAAACTCTTTACATTATTTTTCCGATGAATGTATAAGTGTATTCGTGGAGAATGTCTGGAAATCATCATTTGCTCGATGATGGCTAAATTTTTTTGCAGAGATGACGATAACATGTTTGTGGTGTATGACTTCACAGTATCTTCTTTTGTGTGCGAAACAGAATCAAAATTTACAGCTTCAACTTTCCATTTCTCACTAGAATAGTGTTTCATGAAGATCAGACATTGGTTTTGCCTAGTTTCCTTGCAATTGAGATAGATCTGGACTCCTGATATTTCTTGGTCAAGTCTCTTCATGTGTATCTTCCCTGCTTCTTCAGCTACGTATCATACTAACATGACTTCAAGCTCTACGAATGTTAGCGATGCCACTGTTTGCAGTGGCGGAGGACGAAACATTTTTTAGGTGGGGCAAACTATACAAAAAAATTGATGCAAAACCAATATAAATAATACAAACCAAATTTATCGTCCATTCGGTCATGTTTAAAAAAAATACAATAATGACAGTAGGTTTTTCTCTTAGAAACACTATATTCCAACCATTCAAAATCCTTATACCATACTGCTCGAAAGCATCTTTCATCTCTATCTGGCGGAAAATTGCGGCAAATTGGTTGAGTTGGACCCATCTCTATATAAGCAGATCTAACATCATCTCTAATATTGGGGCTAGATCTATCAAGTGAAATGTGAAGTCTAGATCATCCTTCATGTAATCCATAGAAAAAATGGTCATACCTTCATATCCTAGAACCTCAACATTCTCCTTGACTATGGCTTCCACGGAATCTAGAATCTCTTCTTCCACTTGTTCAAAAGGCGAGGAATTTGCATGCTTCTAGGGTTCGTCTTTTCTTCCGTGCGTGTGGACTCTCGCTCGGCTGGGCGTACCGACGTCGACAAGAACGGAATATTAAGATACTACTCTGAAACATTGCGGTATATTAAGATACTACTCTGAAACAAGAAGGGAATCCAGTAAAAAGACATAACAACCCAGTATCTGCCGGTACGCTGTGGAACATGCATGATGATCCAATTTGAAATAAGGGAAAACCGAAAGTTACATAGAGCACTGAAAAACAAAGACAAACCTTACCAAAACCAGACGAAATCTAAATAAACATGTATTCATGGAGGGTAGAAAGCCATTTCTCACGCTACTAGTACCATTATCTGCGTACACAGACCACAGAGAGGCTAGAACATAACCAACTCACACATCCGAATAGCTGGCAAACTCACGGCCGCTGGTCCAGACGACGTGGTCCTGCGGCACCAAGTGGCACACCGGCACGGTGCCAGGCTTCACCTTGAGCACCTGGAATGCGATGTGCCTGGGGTTCCAGGCGGCCGTGTCAGCGTGGCACACCGCGACCGCCTCCACCGCTGTGCCGTCCTCGCCGACCATCGACAATGTGTAGGCCCTAGTTGCCTGAGGCAGGTGGCACGCGAACACGGCGTACGCGTACGGCTCCGCGTGGCAGACCAGGAGACGGTCGGCACCGGTGCATTTTACGTCGGTCAGGGTGTAGTCCTGCCTTGGTGTTCCCTCCTTACCGACGACGGTGGACATGGCCCTCACGTGGCTGGTTCCAAGGCTGGACGTGGCAATGTCGATCATGGACTCCAGTGACGTGGGGCACCACTTGTGCTCGCCCTCGGCTGCGGGCGCCTCGCAGTGGCGCAGCGTCTGCGCCATCTGCGCCGCCTCCTGGGAGTCCTGTTTCAGGGAGAAGTGGCCAAGGATCTCAGGGACCTTGTCAGAGGAGAACGGGATGGCGTCGGCCTCGCTTCGTGGCAAAAACTTGTCACCGGCGCCGGGGGTGGCCATGAAATGGAGCTTCATCAGCTTCTTCCGGCCCGCGTGCATATGCAGGTCCTTCTCCAAGAAGAAGAGCGCGGCGCTGGGGTCGTCGGGCAAGTGCAAGTGCCCCTCCACTGTGGTGTAGACACTGAAAAACACATGGGATTTCTCACCAACCGTCGCGCCCCCGTGCTTCCCATGCCCGCAGATGACCGACGATGTGCAGAGCAGCCGAGAGAGGGAGCTTGGCATGGGAGTGTTTGGAAGAGCAGACTTCCAGTACTGCTCGGGAGTCAGAGTCAGAATGGAAGCCCCAGCTGCATTGTTTACGAACGCAGTCTGCAATATGTTTCTTGTTAGTAGCTACTGGAGTACTCCCAAAATTATTTAGTGATAACAACCGTGGAATAAAGATGATAACTTGTAGAAAGTGGTGGGCATACCAGTAGAAAGCCAAGGAGGCTGGAGAGGAGGCGACCCATTATTGAGAGCAACAATGAGGAGCAAGAAGCAGAGGAGATGATTGATGTCCTTGCTGCATCTAGCTAGCTAGGCACACATGGATATTTATACAGCTAGCCCCAGATCAATTCATGGACGGAGGGAGCTGGTCAATATCAAGGGAGCAGGGGAAGTGGGGCAAACTCGTGCCGCGCGGGGCTGGGAATCTCATATACGACACCATGATGTAAGGGTCCCGGGGGCACTAATTAGTGGAGTGTGGTAGCCCGTCGCGCTCGTGCCTGGTTGGTGGCAAGCATTAATCAGGAAGGAGCAGCAAACCTAGTATTCACGGAGAGCGAGTTCTTCTGTTTTTTTCTGGGTCGTTATCAAAGTTAATCTTGCTTCGTGATGTTTCGTTCGGCTTTTCCCCTGTTTTATGTTTCGGTGGTGGCATGGGATTAGACCTGGCCATCCTCCGGGCATGTAGAGAGAGCCATCCACAATGGTAAGGTGGGAGTAATGTTGTGGATGTAGAACCAACTTTCATTCAAGCCACTACATAAAGAAAACTACTTGTACAATAATTAGAAACAATCTCCTTGTTATGATGCAAACAAATAATGTGATTGATTTTGTATTTCTCAAAGTGATAGCATATTCATAGACAAATGATTGTCCTGCTGCAAAAAAAAATACCAAAACAATATATACATATACATATATATATATATATAGGAAAAATCCATCCTACCACCCGGTGGTAGTTACCCCACATATTTCATATACTACCAAGTGGTACTATATATACTATTTTATTATTTTAAATATGTTCATATACTATATCTAAGATATTTAAAAGCAGGTTACGTGAAAAAATTGCATATGAGCCAATAGTTTTTGTTATATTTATGAAATACGTACATATTTGTACGTAAAAAAGAGCATACTCAAAAAATGGTACATACTACTTAAAAATTAGTATATATACTACCTAATCATTGTTATATACTACATACTACACGTGCATACTCTCGGTTTCAATAGATACTACATACAACATACAAAACGCAAGTGGTAGTAACTACCACTGCTTGTAGGAAATATTTGTCCATATTTTTTGTACATATATATGAGGGGAGGTGATATTTTTTGTTTCATTCGTCATAATATTCTGTAGAAACCTTGACTTTTATACAAAATCAACTCACAGTAAAATAACTAGTTTTTTGTCCGTCCATATTCTACCGTGGCTCGGATGAGCCTTAGCCCTGTGCGCCCCAGCAACGAGGTCCTAATTTTTTTTGTCCCTCACTATTCTCCTCCCATGGCCTACATGGGCCTTAGCCTGATGCAGTGCATGAGCCTCAACGCAATATTGTGCGATCCATGCAACCTGAGAGAAAAAAAGTAGGCAATGGCATGAGGTATCGATCTCCTCACCTGCATCCAGTGTCAAACGGTTTTTTCAGTGGAATTAACTCATGGTTGTTTGTACAAGAGATGATTTGTTTTCTTATTAACAGTCCCACCTAGATTTCTTGCACCTCATCCCACTACTTTATATACATACTAGCATACATGCCTGTGCGTTGCAACGGGAAAAAAAATAAAACATCACACATCTCTAAGCATGAAGACCTCCCTCTATTTCAATATTACACCCCATCCATGTCGTTCATTATCCTTCCTCCATTACTTGTGCGCCGACGATGGGTGCCAGTGGGTCGAGCGGGCGGGCTTCTACCTGATGACAGCAGGAGAGAAGTGCCTCCATGACGGCTGCTAATTGTCGACGAAGTCACCGATTAAGACATGACTCCATGGAGCGCACCACACATATTGTACACATCTTGCACGGGACGACGACTCATCACATTCTCCCCGCACCAGCGCAAGGTATGGGGGGTTGGTGACGGAGCAACCCACCTTTGTTGCAGATTTAGAAGAGGGCCACATTGGAAAGCTGGTTTGGGAGGGAGATTCTTGTGGTGATCGCCAGCATGCATGTGCAGGCAGGAGGGAGGTGTGGGAACTGGAATGATCTTGGAAAACTGGCATAAAAAAAGTAGTGTACGGAAAAAATTCGGTGGACAAAGAATGAAAAGGAATGACAACAGAAGAAATATTCCTCTTGAATAGAGATATATTTAAGTATAAATTTAATGTTACTACTACACGTTAGCCTTCACAATTTATGGCTAATAAATTTTTACACAAAGTATTATGTTTATTTTAGTCATCCTGCACAAAGCATCCAGTATAGCCTGATCAATATTTACAAAGTTGCAAGCATTTATCTTTGACACGTCCTCAAATAAACAAAGTGTATTCTAGACTCACATAACTCAACCGAATATATTTCTGCTTTACTACCTCTATCACCGAAGTCTCATCTTCTTTGTGCTATTTTTAAGTTTATATATAAGATCAATAGAACAACAAGAGTGATATACAGGTCATCTAGAGGGTTAATGTCAAACCTTGCAGGATCATCCTTGCGCACAGGGAATACATGTGGCCAAATCATTGTAAAATGTTTGATAATAGGGTTAATTAGATAAATGGCACTCCAATTATGACGATGCCACTGCAATTTCCGAATTTTGTAAAATGCCACTGTAATTTTGGCAAACTTTGAAAAACGCCAATCCAGACTTCGAAAAATGACACTGGATATGGCATGAAAGGACATTTTTCAAAGTTTGGAAATTGCAGTGGCATTTCTCGGAATCGCGAGATTTGGAGTGGCATTTATAAAATTAACCCTTGATACTGTAATATTGATCATTTTCTGCACTTGCATGAACTTTATATACTATCTTGCTCATAATATCGAAATAGGGTATGCGTCCACCAATCCTCAAAATCACAAACAGAACATTATCTCCCACCTGTCTATTCTCCACATCAGGACTATGCTTCTGTCCAAGGGTGTGATCTAACTTCCTCAAATAAATAGTATCGATCAACGACAGCTTATCCCCCTTGTCGAGCTAGATTATTTGAGGAAGTTGAAACCCATTGGCATGGATGATCATCTCCACCGAAGTCTCATCTTCTTTGAAGACAAGGGCCGAAGATGCTTCCCGTGTATAAATAGTATCTAACACACGTACACCTGTCATGGACTTCCCAGACTCCATGCTACCCAACAAATATATGCAGGACAGGCCGTTGCTTCCTTTTATGAAAAGGATTGTACTTAACTTTTCGACCTTGCATCCCTGGACGCATGGGATTTGTGGGACGATGGGCATGCCTCTCTCGGGAAATAGCGGGTGGTGCATTCCATGTGCCAGTCCTAATTCTTTGTTTCACTTTAAGTTTGACCCCCATTTTAAGTAAGCATTGCATTTTCCTTTTTTGTAAGTTTTGCAGGTTGATATTATTGGCAAGTTTTCATGTTGCACTCTGTTTAAACATGCAAAACATACTCAATGTAGGAAATTCAAAACATAGCATACAACTACTCATTAAACACATTCAAATAACATATTGTTTTCAGTTAAAAAGGCATCCACATATTGGATCCTTAGCACTAGCTAGAAGCAATAATACAAAGTAGTTCATACGCTTAAGATGGCAAGCCAGACGATGGTGGGAGCATTGAGCATTCTGCTCAAACTGCACCGAGAACTCATATTGCTTCATCACTATTGGGGCATTCTTGCAGTCAGCCTTAGCCTCCATGGTGACCAACACTAGATTTTTGCTCAAATCAGCCTCCAAATGCTCCTTGTCAACCATCTGCTCATCCTTGTCATCCACATTAATTGCTAGATTCATGTCTGCGTGAGAAGGATGAG